CCCTTTATTTAACAAATTATGCCATTAAAAGTAATTTTATTGTTTGTTTCCTCTTTCAATTTAAAAGATAAATTGTTTATATCTGTATAAAATATTAATTTATTTATAAGCAGTATACATACTGTTTATAAGTAAATACAATACTTTTTTATACAATTGCAAATAAGCTGACGATTACAAAAGTCGATTGCTTGGGTACCTCTGTCCCATTCGTGTTTCAACCGTGAAGCAGTTGTTTTTGCATGGCTGTGTTTCGTTTTGAAGGGTGGGATATGGCGTGAATTTACTGGGTACAGAGGAATAACACCTGAGTCCTCAGGAATGGCAACGCATGAGGGGTATCATGGGCGAAACAGTATACTCTGTAATGTCCATGGTACTGCTCATGTCTATAGGCGACGGTTATCACTTTCCATCAGGTGGGCCGTCAGCTTGTTTGTCATTCTAAGTTGTATAAAAAAAAATTACTGTTATAATCTCACCTTTAAAACTGAAATACAGCTATTGTCTGTAAATATATTTGGAATTAATAATCTCTATGCACTCTCCTAGTACGCGAATGAAGCCGCGGGCGTAGCTAGTTTATATCTATACTAGTATTATAAAGAGGAAAGATTTGGTCGATTGTACGTTGTTTGTAATGGATAAACTCAAAAACTATTTAACTGATTTTAAAAATTCTTTCTTAAGCAGATTTGGAAAGATTTTTATATAGCAAAAATATAATATAATTTATTTTTATGTTATCAGCGAGTTACATATATATATTTTCGAAAACTCTATCTATCCAGGCGAAGCTGGGTCGGATCTGCAGTACAGTATGAATGTGCATAATTATGTATGTATGTAGGTACAATATGTACCTAAAGACATTTTTACCTTCGCAATACGCAACCAGGAAGAACAGCGTGGCATCCGTCGCTCCATCCGATAATTGTCTCCTAAACACTGAAGATCAGGAAATAAAGGCGTAAGTTAATTGTCTATTTATACACTACCTTTCTATTGATTTTATGCGGATATTATTACTTAAATGATAAAAAGTCTGATAACTTTTTTAAACCTCATCTATAACGAGCCTTAAATGATAAAAAGTCAAACCTTTTTTTTATATGGGATAAGATAATATAGTCCTTAATTCAGGGGGGAAAGGGATTGATAGCAATGGGGTTTGACAGCCCCATTGCTAGCAATATGCCTTATTAGGTCGACCTCCATGGTTCCCCCATCGTGAACAATTATCGTTGAAATGTTAATGGGCTAACTGACCTACTTCATTCATCTATATCCTTATGCAAGTGTATATTATAGCGCGGATGGGGTTATCATTCCATATAAAAAAAAGTATTTAATTCAGAAAAGAGCCACATTTTATTCAAATTATTCAAATTGCAACACTGAAAATTCGTTTTAAAAAATCATACCTCAGATAAGAGTCGTCTTGATATACGATGTGCCATTTTGAGGTATATAAGTATAAATATGATTAGTGTCCAGTATAGATAATTAAAGATTGGGTTCCACAAAAAAATTCTGGCTTCAGTTGTGGCAAAATCAGTTAATTTAAAAGCGAAAGTAATGAACCGATTTTGATAAAATTTTTATAGAATCACATCCTATTAGTTAAAACTATATTCCAAATCGGTTTATAAATGACAGAGTTATGAGGTAACAAACATAAAAAAAGTACAATCGAATCGAGAATCTTTCCCTTTTCTGAACTCGGTTGAGAATTGCGTGCGATGTTATCTTTTAATTCGACTATACGTGTATGTTGTGCATGTGACCCGGTTTTGTCGAATTATGTTCACGCTACCTCGACTGGTCTTTGCACGCTTATTATTGTGTAATGGGTTATCTTGTTTTACAAAAATGATCTAGTTTTTCTTGAGTCGCCGTTAGTCTTATCGATTGATTAGACAACTATCCAGTTGGGATGTAATGCAATGTAAATTGGACTCTATTTTCTGTACTTAGCCTCTCATTTGGGTTATTGTGCGTATAAGTCATGGCTAGTACAGCCAGCCCAGCTCACAAGCACAGAAGCGTCACAGGCCTCACGGAGCGACCTCACAGTTCCGAGGATTTCTAAACGTTGAGGGGCCACAGCTTCACATTCTACACACACTAGGATTCCATTTCCAGTTGCCATATTTAACTATATTATTATTATTTTTATAAAACTTAGAATAGCCTTTTGTACTATATTTTATTCGATCACGATAGATTAAATAAAATAAATGGCAAACATATTAACGCAATAGCTGATAGGAAGTGGTAATCGCCTATAGATTTAAACAGTATTATGGTCATCATAGAATACTTTGTGACATCTCATGTGTTGCCATTCTTCAGGATTATGGTGATATACGTCCATACCCTGAAATGTCACTGCTATATCCCACTCTTCAAACTGAAAGATAGCCATGCAAACGCAGTTGCTTCTTGGCTGTAACACGAATGGGACCGAGGTACCCAAACAGATGACTTTTGTACTCTTATAAGTATATATAGTCTCTTATAAGTATATATAGTCCGCAAAACACATCCATATTTGTGTATCCTTATTAATAATATAAATGTGATAGTGAGTTTGTTTGATACCTCTTGCCACTTTAACGGCTCCACAAATCCTCGTGATTTAATATACATGAAGTATTTATCTCAAGTACTAAAGTGAAGAAGAAAATGAATTACATTTATTCGAAGAATACTTATAAAAAATAATTATAATTTATTTATAACCATTTTCATTTACTCACTCACACACTCATACACAGGCACACGCACACGTACACGCACACACGTGTCTATATATATTTTATAAAAAAGGAATATTTACTCGCGGCTTTGCTTGCGTGACGTGGATATAGTTATTGATTGTCCAGGATAAAAATTAGTCTAGATTCTTCTTCATTTTATATTTTAGGTATATACTAAATTTTATGACGATTGACTACCATTTAAAAGTAACAAGTACACGATTGTCCGATTTAATTACACGATTGTGTAAAAGCTTCAAATTACTCAGCGAACTATGGAGAGGGCTATGCTTGGACTTTCTTTGCGTGACTGAATCCGAAATTAGGATATAGATAAAAGAACAAAAGTCACTGGCATAGCCTAAAGGATAAGTAAGCTGAAGTAGCAATGGGCTGGTTACATAGCTCGAGGAACCAACAACCGATGGGGAAAAAAGATTTTAAGTGGCGACTTCGTTTTTTTTTTATACAACTTAGAATGGCAAACAAGCTAACGGCCCACCATACGTTGCCAATCCTGAGGACTCAGGTGTTATTCCTCTGTACCCAGTAAATTCACGCCATATCCCATCCTTCAAACTGAAACACAGCTATGTAAACACAACTGCTTCACAGTAGAAACAAGAATGGGAAAGAGGTACCCAAGCAATCCACTTTTGTACAAAGTCTCCCTCTGGCATAACGTACGAGCAAAAACAGTGTAGGATGATCCCCCACTAGCTGGAGTGACGACCTCAAATGCATTGTTGGAAGTAAATTGATGCAGATGGCTCAGGACCATTCTTTATGGTAGTCCATGGGGAAGGCTTATGCTCAGCAATGGACGGATAATGGCCGAGATGATGACGATGATGAAAGAGCAATAAATAAACAAATTCGTTTTGACATCTATAATATTAGTAAGGATTTTTCTAAACACACTTATGCAAAGTTTTTCCTTTTTTAACCGTCTCCAAAAAAGTAGGAGGTTCGACTGTATTTTTTTTTCTGATGTTACTTCTAAGGAATTAGAATATTGAGTCAACGGTTATTAAAAAATAAAAATGTTTCCAAAAGTTTTATTTTGTAGGGCAATAAAAGACATAAAACCGCATAATTTATAATATACTGAGTGACGTACGAGTATATGATGTATGTATGTTTGTTTGTAAAAAAAGTGTGATCTACGTAAGTTGATAGAATATTTTCGAAGCAAATTTTCCGCTAATTCTAATAATCGTCACAGTATTTTTCATAATGTAGGTATGTTATATTTATAGAAGGCAATACAGGAACTCTTCTGATGAGACATTTATTTGTATTTGTTCGTACATATGTCACGGTTTTCTCAGTAAGTAATTTTATTTTTGTACTTGAAATTTTTCATGGAACTTAAATCGCAAACAAAATGCAGAAATGGTAACCTTCGCCTATAGACATAAACAGTACCATCGGCATAATAAAGTATACTGTGTCACCTATGATGCCCTTCGTGCGTTGCCATTCCTGAAGACCAAAGTTAAAGTATATTGTATTTATATATAAGTCTAAATAAATTAATACAATAGCTACAGTTGCATATTTAGTGTAAATGCGATGTAAGAATTTGACGCAAGTAATGACAATTTAAATCATCATCATCATCATCATCTCAGTCATTATCTCTTCACTGTAGAAAATAAGCCCCCATAGAGTGCCATAAGGAACGGTCCTGAGTCATCCGCTGTATTAACTAATTCTCTCTACAAAAAGACTTCAACGCAAGCAAATCAAGTAGATACGAATTTACAATGAAATTTTTTTTACTGTTTCATTTTAATTAATAAAAACTAAGTAAACTAAATAAAATAAATGTGTAGGGGAGGTCTATATTTAGTAGTGGACAGATAATGGTGATGATGAAATAAAATAAACAACTATAGTTCATAATAAAAGATTGATAATATTATTTTAATAACTTTTATTTTCTATTCTAACAAAAATTTAAGAAAAATCTCAAGCCGTATTTTCATACTATTTCAATTTTCTATTATAAAATTATGGTATAGATTTTGTATGTATTTTATTTGTGTATCTATATTTGTTATTTAGTATACTTAATGTAAGTTTTGCTTATCAATTTGTTTCATTGGACAACAGAAGTGAAACAGGAAAACCCATATAGACGACATCATAAAAAGTACAGGCATGGCTGTAAATTTTCGAAAAACCATCGCGCGCCCCACTCTGCAAAAGCGAACGTTTTATTGTGTGGGGGGCGCGCACGCAGCCCAGTCCGTCGTCCGCCGTCGCTTGCGCACACCGCGTCGCGCGGCAACAGTTTTCCACCCGGAAAAATTGTGTCGCGTATACGCGAATTTGCAAATTCAACAAAAGGAATCATCGAACTCTGTGGTCTTAGTGTTGTATCCTGACTTTGCCTGTGATGGATTACGTGCATGGCTTATAAGTGTTGTGTGACATACAGTGCTCCCGGTCCCCCCTTTCAGTAAAGTTCCTGTATTAACGGTGAGTTGCGGTAAATAATATTTTTTTGTTATTAAAAATATTACTATCGAATTTATGTCAAATAATTTATTTATTTAATAATTAATATAATCTCGATATATTTAATTTTACTTTCCTTTTTTCCATACTATCGAAATTATTATAAATTAAAGATTATAACTATTTATTATTTATAATAATTATGTAGAAAAAAGCAATAAAAAAAAATTTTATAAATATTATTTATATTAGTAGATAATTGTTTACTCTGCACTGTGCACGACTAAATAATTAATAACTAATTAAACAATTAATTAATTAAACGACAAACATCGCTCACAGTCACTTACCATAGACATAAGATAAAGTATATTCGTCTAATGGCGTCTACTGGTTTGAAATTTTATCGAGCCGCGTAATGTTATGCGCTTACGCAATAAAATTATATGTATTTTGAAACTGAAAGTTACGAAAGGATTATAGATATGGTTAAACTTATATGGCGCTAATGGGTTTTAATGTGATTTACTATTTTAATCAAAATACCATAAGCTATGTCTATTTGAATATCATTGATTATAACATATTTATAGTGAAAGTTGTGGTTCAAATGATTTTAGTATTTTTTGGTCATGTTTGTTTTCAACATGACCAACAATGTGTAAAAAAGAGTTTTCGTTTTTCGATATTTTTGTCAATTCTAAACCTACCAGAGGGAGACTTTGTACAAAAGTCGATTGCTTGGGCACATCTGTCCCATTCGTGTTTCTACCGTGAAGCAGTTGTATTTGCATAGCTGTGTTTCGGTTTGAAGGGTGGGATATGGCGTGAATTTACAGGGTACACAGGAATAACATCTGAGTCCTCAGGAATGGCAACGCATGGGGGTATTGTGGGCGAAACAGTATACTCTGTTATGTCCACGGTACTGCTCATGTCTCTAGGCGACGGTTACCACTTTCCATCAGGTGGACCATCAGCTTGTTTGCCATTCTAAATTGTATAAAAAAAAACCTATTTTTATGTTTCCTTTTACAATCGATCATTACTTTTGCAGGAGGATTTAAAATATGAAAACATAGGTATTTTTTTTAAAACAAAATCTCAATTTATTAATTCTATTGATATTATAAGTACAAAAGTTTGTAAAAATGAATGGATGTTTGTTATTCTTTCACGCAAAATCTACTGAATGGATTTGAATAAAATTTAGTACACGAGTTGGTTATATCTAAATTTAGTACATATTGATAAATATAAAATAATCCTATGTGCTAATCTGTGTGTGTGCCACAAATCATATTGTTAAAATGTTTTGCAAGTTATAGATATTAAGTCCTTAATTGTTTGTGGTGAGAAATAATAATAATAAATAAATAAATAAATGAAAAATCTAAGGGATATAGCTAGACAAAAAAGAATTCATTAATTGAAATCAGTATATATTTAATTAGTAATATGTTTATTAAATATATGAGTGTTATCAACGTAATTTGCAAGTATGATACAAAACATGCGAAAATATCATTACACAATGGAGAAACAAAACTTACATAAAATTTTATTAATACATAATTTGAATAAATATATTGGTATGATAATCATCAAATAGCGCTAGCACTCGGCCGTGGCTTCCTCTGTGAATTTGAATGTAATCTCCATTGGAATGAATGTGTATTTGGAAACGGAGATTGTACAATGCCTTGTTGAGGTTTATTAATGGAATATTGGGTCTGTGTCATTCGGTTTAAAGAAATCTTGTGGACATAATATGGAAGTATGAGTTAATGTAGGTATTTAGGAGTTGTTAGTCAAAAACATATTCAAATAAAAATCACCTTTATGCAAATAGTTGTTTACAAGCACTACTAAATACTAATTTTTTTAAATCTACTGCAGGGTTTGGAAAGTTGTTATCTGTTGAGAAGAGCCCGCAATAAACTCTCTCTCCTTTAAATCTCTGTTAATATATGTATAAGCATATATTTATTTAAATGTACAATGTCTAACGTGGTCATTATATTATTTTACTAATTTGTTACTAGCGTACTTAGTATAGTACTTATTCTAGTAATTTAAAATACACGTAACGTAAATTAGAATGTGATTATCAAACAAAAGACACATCTGAGTTATAAAAAGATTTGTCGTTTTTTGTCGAGTGGAGAATTCTTTTTTTTCCAAATTATTTATATTTCTTTAATTGTTTTTTTTTTATTTGATTCTTACTAAATTATTACCTATATACTGAATTTGAAAGATTGAAAATAGATGAGCAAGAATTGTCAAACAGAATATATTTCGAAAATAAATTTAAACATATATTTAATACATTTCCATTTTCGATTACTCAATTTTCAATTTAGAAACTGATAATAATTACGTTTGTTCTAATAAGAAAATAATAGGCGGTTTTAGTTGAGAACAATAATTTTATTTAATAAATTATTTATTAAATGACTTATTTAATGATAGAATAAATTAGGTTTAACATAAACAGGAATGAACTATCAAATAAATATTAATTCTATGATCAACAAAATATTAATAAATTTATCTAGTTGAGTAGAGTATTTTTTTTAATTACTTATAGAATTAATAGATAGTAGTTCGAAGTAATGAGGCTTACCGCAAATGAGAACGATCTTTACGATCAATAAAAAAAAAATCTGAATAGATTTTAATCAGATAAAGTATTATTTTTTAATTCACAATCGGGATTTAACGTGACGGATACAGGTAGATAGTGCCATCGTATCCTAAAAACAAGGAATATTAGTCTGTGTACATACCTAATTTTTATTGCCAACTTTAAAAAAAAACAGATAGGTATTCTTTACTTTCAATCAAATGGTGTTAAGTTCCTATCGTAAATTTAAATATGTGTAAACAATGCGAAAGTTTAAAATTAATTTTTTATAAATATTTTTTTACAAAATTACTATTTTTTCGAATTTTTATTACCATTATTGATACTATTAATTTAATTTGATTTAGATTAGAATCAATAAAATATTTAAAATGTATTAAAATACGCTACATTACATTACATTTTCAGTATTTTTTTTTATTTAAAATTTTTGTAGTCTAAATTTTAATTCTATTGCATTAACCTTTTTGTTATTTTCTTAAAAAGTGAATATAAAATTTAATTAATGTGTAATTATCATTCCGTTACATGCCCGCAATACAAGCAAGTTTAATTTCATTTGTGGCATTCTCTCTAAGTAATATAATTACATGCAACCATTCACTTCCATACAATAGTATAACTCGTATTTTATTGTTATTTCAATTCAAACATAATAGGTTAACTTGTATTTCGCAAATGTCAATGTGTGATTACCCTGTTATGTCGATTCTACGTTATATGTTGTGGGTATAAGCATATGGCCCAACTAGGCTTATGGCCAAAAAGTGTTTGCAAATTTTATGACGAGGAAGAAATGCTGCAGCACATAATTTGTGGCTGTAGCCCATTAATACATAAATATATATATATATATATATATATATATATATATATATATATATATATATATATATATATATATATATACATATCTCCGTTGGAAAATAAACTTTATATCCTGAGGAGATAAGAACATTGCTGTCAAGAACATATTAAAATTCATATCATTATACTAAAAAAGGGCGAGTACAAAAGATTACAGTGGTCGCAGTGTTACAGGTTTTTTGCTTGAAAAAGTTTATGTCTTAATATTAATAATACATTGTTATGTATATTTCTTTCTACGGTTCAGGTATTGACTCAAGTAAATTAGAAAGGCGTGCACATATGTATACGTACATTATAATACATTTTTACACTAAACTTAATTATGGTATTTAAAAACATATTTTTATTTTCCAATAAAAACCTTTTAAATTAAAAATTTAGATTCACGTGATTATTATTCTTAGTGAATGTGAATTAATAAAAAAAATTTTTGTTGAACAAAACTGTTATTAGCATTATTTAGCAAATTTGTATAAAAAAAATCTACAACGCCGCTAGTTGGTCAATGTATTTTGTATTAACTGATTATAACATAGAAAATAAGCGAGATGAAATTCACTGACCGAGAAGGCGTTTTCACAAACGAGCTATGTCGTAATAAGTTCGAAAAAGGAACACGACGGTCGTTCGTGCGAGAATTATGCGAATTTGCACGCAGTAACACCGGCCACAGAGTAGGTAATCACTATACTTCGATTTAAGAGTCGACATTGCCCTTATAATAACGAAACTGAATAATTGGTCTATGTAACCATCTAGAAGTATTAACATAATAAAATTAATGAATATTCATAATACCTAGTAACTATTTATAATATGCTACTATTTAAAATATCGATAGGTATTATAAAGACAGCTGATTTTAGGTGTACAATTTTCATATTCGACCAACTAGTTGCACAGCTTTTATACAATTTTTTGCTAGAAGTGACGCAGATCTTATTGACTTGGTTTGTGGACCTTATTTTTTTAATTATAAATACAGGATAAATTTTTCGATTTAATGTGGAAAGCAAAGGACCTTAGACAGAACAGTCTTATATTTGTATGCTTTATTTTTTAAATAATATTATTCATAAAAATGACAATGTTATAATGATGGAATAAACTTTTTAATTGAATAAGGAAGGCAAAGTATTTCGGATAGACTATTAAGTAATGCTCTTTTTAGGCGTACATCAATATTTCTATTCTTTTTCTAAATACTAAATTAAAAACATTAATATGTACAAGCTCAAATCTAAATACCGTCATAAAAATGAGAATGCTCGAATAAAAAAAAAAAAAAAAACTATATCGATTTATTTTTAAATTTATATATTATCAGGTTTGTGAACTGGTCACTTGATAAACCTGTAACACAACCTTTGAACTATATAATATTGTGCCTTTCGTTCTGTCTCCGGCGTTTTAAAAGCAAACCGAGGTTACATTATATGTCTGATAAAAAATGAATATATGTAATTTAGAGATTTCTAATGAATTATATCATATTATTGAT